TGTGTATATATATATATATATATATATATATACACAAACCAAAATGTCATAACATTATTCACATACCTAAATTAACTTAGATTACTATATGGTGAAGTCAAACAGACTCAAAACCCCATACATAATATTTATTAAGTCATATTTCAGCTTGTGCTGTACATAAATGTAAAAATTAGAGCACTGAAGCAAGCATATAAAGCAATTCAGTATCTAAAAATCACAAAGAACATTACACCAAAAGCTGTCACTTTCCTTGAAGAAATGTTTCCAATAAGTCTAAGTCACAGTTTTCTTTAATATACGTTACAGGTTACCAAGCTGATTAATGCAGCAAAGTTAATGTTGAACATTTGAATGCTGGTTTTTACACTTGCTGTACCTTCATTGTTCCTAATCATTCTGACTAGCTCAATAATTACACTTATTTTTTATTTTCATAAAGGTATCCAAGTTATTTCAAATGAAATAAAAATAAGTGCTTAAAACTTATTAGGTCTTTGTAAAAATGTTACTACTTAGAAAGCTCAATTATTAATACTATACTGATATTCACAGAACATAAATTACATCTGGGCTTTTGTATGAAATACTTATAACAGCTTCGCCTAACACCAGAATATAAGTTTACTTTCAAACGTAAAATAACTTTGCTGCAGATCAAATCTGCATATTGGATTCCAATGCTTAGATCTATTTTTTAATACCAAGTTTGAATTTCTAAACTCTTCATTCCACTACTTGAATAAATGCCCCATAACCAAACTGTTCAAACCTCCAACAAGTTTAAATATTTGAAAAAAAACACTTCTAGGTTTTTGAAAACTACAGACTAAACTATAAGCCTCAGCAACATCCTACATCATGTATGGGTGACTTCATGATTAAGTTTTGGGAAGGAAAAACTCTGTAGACATGCCTGTTTCTTGAAATGTTCATTATGAAAAGCATAATGCAACACAAAGATTGAATAAAACTTACAAGAGTTACTGTTGATCCATCATAGGAAACAAACAAAAGAAACATCTTTTAGTGATGACTTTTTCTGTACTCCCAAAACAATGAAGGCAAATATCAACCCACTACAACAAACATTTTTGCATCCAAATGCCAGACTCTTAAAAAAATCCAAACCACTAGCTGTCAGATACATCATCAAGCAAACAATTCCATAAGCTAAAATTCTAAAAGAAGAAATGCCTTTGCTCAGAAATGTGCCTGGGTTTAAGTTTCTAAAGCATCTACTTCTAATATTTGAAACACCATTAATAACCTTATCAGTGTATATATATATATATATATATATAAAAGTTTTTAATAGTTAACTAACAGATCAGTATTATATCTTTCACATAAAACAGAGCAGCTGTTTAAGATTCTTCACACATAACTTTTATAAATCTAGTATACTTCTTGAAGGAAACTTCCAAAAGTTAAATACCCTGTTCTTAATATGGACACTAAAACTTTAACTGAGGTCATTAATGTTTATACAAAATGATATTCTTCTCTAATTATAAAACAATTTTTTTAGGGAGATTTAATCATCTCATTGCCTAATGCATAATAAATTTTTAGCAATATAACCAATGTCTTTTTCAAGAAAATGTATCATTTCCAAACTGCACTGTTTTGAAAGTAAATATCTGTTAACCTAAAAGTTTCACAATATGAAGAGGTAAACATGATAAACTCTCAGGCTAACTGTTAAAGCAAAATGATACTTGAACCTTCACATTAGTGGCTTCAGGCTTTGTTCAACAACCAAAATATGTTATTCCTTCACAACACCAACAATCTTTTCAGATAAAAAGTCCTTTCTAAGGTTACATTCTCACAGACTTAATGATTCACACTTAGTTACATTACTAAAGAAATATTGTTTGCCATTTTATTTGTAGTTAATTAAATCATACTATATTTATAACTAGAATTTAATATTTCAAACATATTTTATATAGAGATAATACAAACTATGAACTCCAACTAACAGTTTTGATTTTCAGACAAAAATGTGATGAGTTACTGTGACAGGGCCATACTGATGTTTGATAGCACCCTGTGCGACATATAAATTTGGAACCCCCCAGCCCACTCCATTCCAAAAAAATCTTATTATTATTATAAATATTTACAATAAATTATATAAACTATTATAATCATTAAAAAGTATAATTTTGAAAAAAACAACAAAAAAACATTCAATTTATCATTCAGTACATTTTGAGATTTGAATATAACCAACCAATGAATTTTTAGTAAACAAGCTGAATCTACACATGCGTGACTTCTGCACAGTCAACTGTTTGCAAGCACACATTCAAGAGGCAATATGGAACTATTCATCCCATCTGCAAGGGCTGCCTTGATGTAGGCAGGCAGCCATTAGTTTCCTTTGTTAATCAATCAGGAAATTGGTACCCCCTTCAAGTTGGTACCCTGTGCAAACAAACCACTTGCACCACCCATAGTACAGCCCTGCTGTGACAAAACATCAATTTGGATAATGGAATAAAACTTTGCACTATTTTTTTTTAGAATTACATCTGTTATTGTCATTCACCGAATTTTTAATTGTCAACAAACTTAATACAAAATCCTAAGGAACACTTGGACTAGTCACTCCTTTATAAAAAAAAAGAAGATGCAATACCTTTGATAACAAGTTGTTAAAACACTGAAAAAGTTACACAGAGAAGCAAGAGAATCTGAACTTGCTGCCAAGAAAGTTTAATTATGCTCCTCTGACCCTTGACTTGCAAATGTGGCACTTTAAAATCACTAGAAATTCACTGACAGATGGCTAAATAAACACATTAAGTTTATTTAAAATAAAAAGTGTATAAGAAATAAAGTTTCCTGTGATAAAGCAGTTAAATTTTTTATGATAAAACAAGCACAGAACTTACAATAAAATAAAGGTATTCAATCACTGCAGAATATTGTTAGAGGGGAGGGAGGACAAAGAAAAGGCACCGCAAATATAGGTGCCAAGGTTATCTGTTACAGGTGCATTCAAGTAATTACAATTTCAATTATACAGATCATGACAGAAGTCAACCACCTGTAGATATGAGCCACGGTTTTTTTACTCAATGGTATAGGCTCTGATGAACGTCTTAATTTTTATAACTTTATTTTTCTCTGCTGTAATGATGTTTTATTTTAATAATGAGATCCTTCAATATACTCAATATATTAATCCAAATTAATATTTCACGTTTGGGTCAGCTTAGAAAACTAAGGTTAGTCATAAATACATATATTAAGTTAATAATGCAAAACAATCTTTATAACAGAACTAGAAGTATACTAACAATAAATCAAATTAAAAAGTAATGACATTCAATATGTTAAATTATTAGTAAACTAGTATAAAAGTCTGTCAAAAATGATGGAAAACCATTGTTGAATGATTAATGAAAATTATAGAATTTAACTAAAATGAATTTGTCTGTACCTCCAAAATGCACCTACTCTTCACTTATTTCATCAATCCTAAAGTAATTCTTTAAAAACCACATTTTTAGTAAACACTTGATCATCATTCATCACTCTTCCTTGATTCTCTCTGTCAGTCACAAATATTTTAAAATTATTTTCGTCTCTTTTTCTCATCACAGCCACATACAATTGTCCATGTCCAAACATTGGTTCCACCAGAAATACTCCAACTGATGGAAGGTTTGTACCCGAGATTTATAAATATTTATCACAAATGCCATTATCGCTGGAAATGATCTTCTCTTAAGTATGAATGGCAAACTTGTTTCACCGAGTGCTAAATCTATGCTCAGTACTAATATTCTATCTGCTCTATGACTTCCATTTAAAATTTCACATTTAAGAAGTACTGACATAAGCTTCTTATAAGCAATCTAGTTCCATTTAACAGTACTTTCTTTGGCTCAAATTTCTTATCAGCATCACTATAGCTCCAGCTTTCAACAATAATCTATGAAGTGGCATTACTGATGGTGTTTGTGAATTCAAAAACTCAACTGGGATATTAATTCTTGTTTCAACTTCATCAGTAACTATTGTATCTATATTCTCTTACTTCTCTATTAACCAAATTCAACACTTCTTTATTCAAAACTTTTGAATTAATCTATTTTATGGTTATATCACCAAAGTTATAAAAAATAACTAACTATAAAACTAAAAGGCTTATAATAAAAAACAAACCTTTCTAACAAATCATCACTAATAATGCCCATTCAATATAAATATCATAGTTGGCCTAAGAACAATCACTGAATCAGGTGATAGTTTTGTTGCTAAGCAATGATGTATATTATTGAGCATTATGAAAAAAAGAAGCATGAAAGCATTCTTGACAGAGTGACAAAGAGAATAAACCTTTTATAGTTAGTGATAATATGGCCAATACTATTAATGAAATTAACAATGAATAAATAATATAGTATACCACAATACTTGTAAGTTGTACATGCTCACAATTTTTTTGTACTTTGAAATTAAGATGCATACATTACATATGATAAATATCAGTTGCTCATCTCATTTCAAAAATATTACACGAGGTTATTTGTTTAAATTTTAAAATAATATTCAAAATCATTTAAGCTCTCAGCACTATAAATCATTAAATGTAACAAAAATATAAACAAACAGAGTTTTGTTTATTTTATCTTCTAGTATTAGTACGGTTCTAAAACTAAAAATAGAAGATGAACATAAGTAATGTCTAACTAAGGAGTATGCTTATTAATATACTGTTTAAAAAACTTTAAAATAGTGTAATTAACTTTAACCTAAGTCATGTCTAATTTGAAGCGCCATTTTCGGATACGGTTTGGAACTTTTTCTTTCTTCTTCGATGTAACTGTAAAGTGTAGTTATTAAGAGAACACACCACTACACAAGTAATACTATTAGTATTATTAACCAAATACAAGTTACAACTCACCGATTTTTAAAAATGAGCCACTGTACGTCTGTGTACTTCGATAATCTATTTCAAATTACTAATTCGCAACTGTTCATATTATGAATTATAAAAAATTACATTTATTTATGTGTCACCTTTAAAAGTTATTACAAACAATCCTAATTCTTATCCATACTTTGTTGCTTATCGATGTCAACAAGACCTTCCATCATTATCTTACGTACAAATATAAGCACCATCTAGCGAACAAATATTTTATTTATAGGATATTTGAAAACATGTTTAAATATAATTTTCTTTCTGGAAGATCAAAATATATTCTATCTATATGACTTATATTTTTCATATTTCATTGAGTAAACATCGAAAATACAATCAATATCAGCTTAATATAATTAATTCTTCAAGTCTCTATGAATGAAGATAATGAATATTTATATGTTTAAAGAAATGTCTACTATATCCCTTCATTTGCCAATGAAAATTATATATAATAAATTATATTAAATGCAAAACAATAATTACAAATAACAACTTGAATGTAGAATAAGATTTTTTTAGACAACCATAAACATTTTTAATGAAAATATTGGGACTCGAAAGAGGGAGGGAAATATGTATAAAAAAACCAGTAACAGCAACAAATATAGCAAATAAACTTGATTCATTTGGTGGAAAACGAAGTCTGGTAATGAATAGTGGAGTCATGATAACAACTGTAAACATCGTTAATGAACATTTCGGTATTACACATTTTCCATCTTCAACAAATCTATTATATTAATGAAAGGAACAATCTTTAGTATAATTGCTGAGACAAAAACACAATGAATAGTGTCTGGAAATTATAAAATATTCAGTTTCGAAAAAGAGGTAGAGAGAACTATTTGAATAAAGTAAGGGGAAAGAGTTGCAATATATGTTGAGGCTTGGATTTTCATTTACAACATATAGGCTTTCTTTTATCAACAGTTCGCCATCATTACATCCATAAGTTAGAATTGAAAAGTTGTCTCAGGAAACGGGATGTGATAACGTTTTGTTGTGAGAATATATAGGAGTGTTAGGTAGAGTTTGAAGTTTAAGTCCATTTCTATTAGAAACTTCCATGTGTTCTAAGGCGAGTATTTATAAATAGCCAGAAGTCTTGCCTATGTAAGTGGCTTTACAGCTATCAAGTGTTTATTTATATACGACCTTTGAACGTAAGAATGAAAGTAAAATTCTTTTAGAACACGACAAATCGTTATCACATCCCGTTTCTTCAGAAAACTTTTCAATTCTGACTTATGGATGTAGTGGTCACGAACTGTTGATAAAAGAAAGTCTACATATTATCAATGAACATCCAAGCCCCAACAGCTAGAATATCCAACTCTTTCCCTCTTGCTTTATTCTAATAGTTCTCTCTCTCACACTTTTTTTTTAAATTGAATATTTTATAATTTCCTAACACTATTCATTGTATTTTTATATGGGTAATTATAATAAAGATTGTTTTATTCATTATTATCCTAGTTTTGCTGAAGATGAAATATGAGTAATTCGGAAACGTTCATTAAATGAACTTGGGTATAGAATCACCGTGACGATAAGTAAATACACCTATATACAGCAACTGAGAAGCAATCAAAACAAGTTCGATGACGAGCCGTCTCCAACCATTTTCAATCAAAACAAGGTTACCTCAACACAAGTTAAGTTATTATTTAAGGTATGAGAATTTTCTTTGATAAGAAGTAGTGTTTCATTTAACGTGGAATCGTCTGGTGATGATAGAATGTATGTATTCCGAGATGTCCAACAGATATAAATATAAAAGAAATTTACAGAGTGAAATACCATTTAAAGATATAATGTTTTACCCACCCACGAGCTTAACAACTGTTTACAGAACTCTCCGTCAGATGGAATTACAACACTAACTTTTCCACGAAAAGCTCGCAAAAGCTGAACATTCAGCTTTGAAGTTTTCACCGTTGTGTCATTTCTCTATTTCCTATTATTACTCACACTTTCAACTCAAAAAAACTTATTTTGAAGTCATATATCACGTTAGTTTTATAAATACATCTGATGAAAAGATCTTTAAAGAGCTGAAAAGCTTGTGAGTTTGTAAAACCTTATATTGTTGTGAGCAATATTTTTAATATTGTAATTTGTTTGTTAGAAAGAGGGCGTTTAACTTTAAGATTGGCTTAGAAAGCCTAGAAAATTCTAAGTTGACGTCAGAGTTTTCCTCGTACTTACAAAGCTGGACTATAAATACGAGATAGTTGTGAAGAGTTTTTGGGGAAGAAATTATTAACTTTATTTTCTCAATTAGAAATCGATTCAGGTGAATTGATCTAAGCTTATATAGTTTTCAGTAAGTCATTTATAGGATATATTTTCTAATGTGAGTGTATTATAAAATTCAGATTGTGATAGACTTTAAAATGCTCTACTTTTAATTGTAGTGTAAAGTAAAGAAAACGCCGAGTACTTGAAATGCTAAATAGCAACGATCTAGATTTTCTTTTGTTTGCAACAAAAGGGTATTTTTGGGTAGTGAATGCATACTAAATTTGGTTTACAGAAGCTGCAGAGAATACATTTTAAAAATAAGTTTCGAGTTCAGAGTTGTTCTTAAACTTTATTAACTTTACTGATCAATTACTACAATATAGTTACCTTCAAGTATTGATGGTTAATTGTATTTTATGAGAACTATGCTCCAAGTCCCATGTTGCAATTGGAACTACATTTTCTACCAGTCTTAATCAATTTGATGGCCACGATTCCCCGCTGTTTTCCAAAATTGCAATATTCAATGTAATCATAGACGCCTAACACATCAGAAATGGAAATGGGTTTTAGGAACTAGGTACACACTTAGAAGGAGCAGTGGGATGATAAATATAAAAAAAAACAAATAGAAAAGATAAGAGGTTGGTATTTTATGTTCTAGCTTGTCAAAATCAGTAATTCGAGTTCCTAATTCATAAGAAACTGTAGACTTTGTATTTCGATATTACAAACATATAATTTGAACCAATGCTGCATTCATCATACCACGTGACACACAAAAATTAATAATTAGGTGTGTTCTTTTAATATTTACTTTTAAATTAAGAAATTAACTAATGTATAATACAAAAATCTGAATTATAATCTACAATTTGATACCAAACTTGTGGATATAAATTCATAAAATAGTAATTCAATAAAATTTTGAATGCAAGTTAACAAACGCGATGACATAGCCTTTGACCCGTGACGATAGGATTAATAAGCATCTTCAGTAGTATTAAACTTGACCAATGGGAAAAATAATGCAAACTGAGAACGAGGTACACAGCGTGTACCCCATTTCCATCACTGATGTACATACGCTATTATTAACAACTATGTTAAATTGCTTTCCCACTTCCATCAAAATTAGGTACTCCTGATTGTAAAAATATTGTGCAAAGGATGGCGAGGTGAATTTTAGACCTTACATCTTAACCAACTTTCCAGACCTTTCACTATACGAGAACATTGATTCTCAAGGCCATGTTTAAATAAGACCAAATGCGCAAAAGCCCATTACAACTACATTCGATAACTAAAAGACATGCATTCAAAAAGGATTGTTGTAATTCAAGATTATTTAACCACCTTTCATGTGAAAGCAGTCGTTGATTGCAAGGTATGGGTGAAAGTTTGTGAGCCTTTATTAACATCAAATTTTTGTTTACTATGTTGTTAACGTTACCAAAAGTCTGCCTAGAGATTCCTTGCAATGGGTTAAAGGGTTCTCTTTCGTACAAAATATCCTTCATTTCTTGTTGTTATTTATTGGCTTGAGATTTGGTTAAGTGGTTTCTTTCTTTTTTTCAAAATGGTGTGACAATTGACTGTACATTGCTTAACAGTCTCGCTATATCAATAGTAATCAAGTGATGGAACAATGTAATTTGACCACTGTGAGTTTCATAAGATTTTACTTTTTATAGCTAAAACATTCTCTGATGGACAGCAGTAAGTTTAAGGACTTACAACGATAAAATCCGGGGTTCGATTCCCCGCGGTGGACAGTTCGATTTGGCTTTATTCTAAAACAAATAAACAAACAAAATTTAAAATATTGTACTCTTCATAACTGTTTCATATCAATTATAAAATGTTTAAGGTTATACAAGTTACAAACATAACTGTAAGAATATGTTTGACTTAATGTTACGCATATTGTTGTAGAATATGTTTTCATACTTTAATTTAGATGTTATGGTTGGTAGAGGGGTTTTCAGTATGATATTTAGAAGCTTTCTAAATGTCTAGGCCTAACGTGACGTCTCAAATCTTCAGGAGTCATGAGGAAAACAAGTGTTATATAAAAGCACCAGGGAAAATTAATTAGTCATTGAGAGTGGTAATCTATGAGCCATTCAGTCAATTAATGAGCCTGTTACAATATAAATATGAATTCAAGTGAAGCAGTCAGTTAATGAGTAGTGATTTATTGAATATTCAATGAATGGTTGAGTTCAGTGTTAGTAGTGAGCGTTGTCGAGTCTATTAACAATGACATTCCATAAGTTAAATAATGGCTGGAGACGGCTTGAATGGGTAATGAAGAAAAACTTTAATATAAGTTTAACATAACAGCAAATGTACAACGTTTCGACAAGGTTTTAT